CATTCTTCATATAATTTGAAAATACTATTTCAACATTTCTGATCAGATTGCAAATAGTGACACTATCAGTTATATCACTGTAGTGTCTTCTGTAAAGGATGTACACTGAAGGACAAATCTCCTTTATATATATATAATATACATATATACATGTACATATGCATAAATAGATGTGTATGCACACATACAAAAAAGAAAATAGAAGGTACCTGTGTAGTTTTCTCAGGCTTTCTTCTTGGTGTCATATCCTTCAGCTATCATACACAGATATATTTGTTCTCTTAAAATAACCCAAGCATTGTCAGACAGTGCTGAATGTCAGCTGCTATAACGTTCCTTGTTTCAAGTAAGTAAGTTTCTAATTTAAAATTAGGCAGAACCCACTAGAAAGGAATTATGATTGGTTGGCCACTTCCACAGTATTAGAATTGTAATTAGATCTACAGTTTGCTACTTCTATCAATCAAATGTCTGACAGCTAGTTTATTAGGCAGAAATCACTACCTCTAAAGGTCAAAAGACATTTAATTATTGAAAGGAAAAAAAAACAATCAGAGCGCTCAGCTGTTTTACAAAGGTCCTAAGACTGTGACTAAGAGAAGAAAAATAGATCACTATTTTTAACAACAGAACTAGTACTTTAGATATTTGCAGGATGTCTCAAAAACACAAGATCACAAAGAAATTATTAACAAACTTCACTTTTGTCCCTGCACTTGGATATACAACTGCCAGAGACACAAAGGAATTCAACAGTGTAGAAGAATATCTGATAATTTTCAGGACAGTGAAGTTGAGAGAGTACCTCTGGAAGGCACCCAGACTGAAATCAGAATTAGGGTTAGGAGTCTGTTCAAATTTCATGTTCGAAAATCAATTCCCTGCCCCAGTCTGTGGACAGTTTCCCCCTCCCCCAAATTTAAATACCACAGATATGATAGATTTTTTATTTTCAGTTGATATTAAAAGCAGGAATTCATCCCTTTTTCTGGTCACTCTTCTTTCCCCATACGATGTACTTCATGAATCTCCAAAAACTGTTTTCCCCCAACTTTTGTTTTCCCGTTACTCCTTTTTTTTATATAATATTTCAGTGTATACACTTTTACAGCGTATCACAGATTTTATTTTGCTATTCTAAACTTTTTTTAAGTCAGAGATGTTTTGAAATATTAAAGAGTAACAAAGACCAAAAAAGTTACACCCATCCAGTTGCGAGTGCAATTCATTTTATTATGTTTGCCATCAAAAACTAAAAAATAAAAAATAAAAAAACAAAAGGAAAGAAATAAGAATTTACAAATTACAAAGTAATTTTTCAAATCTACAGAAATGAAATGGAGATTATCAAATTTACTTCATTAAAAAAAAAAAAAAGTAGCACAGTCTCTCCTGGATATGAATGAAGTTTTGGCTGTGTACAGAAAATATTTTATTTTTGGTGCCAGGCATCAACAGGGTTCACTGACTCATTCACTGTAAAGTTCATGTGTGCTCTGCCTCTGACACCAGTCGATGTCAACAATGAAATGGTAATGCTGCATAGTCTTCTTAAATGAAAATATGGAAAGGTAACATCTTGATTTGCTGCAAGGCATATTATTCTCTAGATCTGAAAATAACGGTGACTTTGAGAACAGAAGAATAAATAAGAACAATTCACCAACTTCATTACAAGCCACTGCAACCTACCTAATACAGATCAGCCAGTCACAACCTTTTACAAGCTCTGCGGTGAGGGAGGTCCCAGCGCACCACACCACCTTTGTTCTATTTGGTTATACGATCTTCTCTTTCGTTTTTCCCAGCATCTGGGCAACAGCACACTAACAACTACATTTCAAATTTCATATCCCCCTAAACAGGAAGAGCTTGGATTTGCACCTGAATTTACCCACCACAATGAGCACGTACAAATGCCTTGGTACCGCCGTCATTACAAAGTCTGGCAGTAAGAGATCATAAGAGATTAATAAACTGACTACACCAGCACACCATGGAGTTCATTTTCTTCTGTTCCATACCAGAGGTTTATACTCAGACTCAACTCATTTTGAACTACAGTATACAGCAGTTTTACAACAGTAAAATTTCTGCAAAACAAGTCTAATATAGGAGGATTACAAGTTAAAGTTTTAATAGGAGGGGATGATAAAAAAAATTTCTGCTACAGAGCAGTATGTTCTACCCATGGCAACACTGGCATTTGTTGAAACATACTGAAAATTTACATATGGCAGATGGACAAACTGATCCATGTTAAGGACACGTGAACGTTATTGTGCACTAGCTATGCTAGTATCATATCAGTTTGTCCATCTGCCATACGTAAATTTTGCTATGATACCATAGTTTGATAGATAATGACAGCCCAGCAAAAATTTTATCTCCTTTACAACATCCAGTCTTCTTAAGTCCTAACTGTTATCATTTTGGTGAATCATGTACATAATTACAATTTTTGAAAGGAAAGCATACCACAAACACTGACCAGTTGCTCTGACTCTATTCATAAATTCAGGTGTCTTAAAGTTATGACCTAAGCAACAATTCCAACAAATACTGTAACTCAAAGCAATCAAAATCAATTAGCAAGGAACAAATTAAACTCACAGGTAAATGAGCTCCTATTATGAAAAAAATACCTCCAAAAACTCAGGAGACTTAAGCTTCTAGAGCATTTTTAAACTCTGGGGAAGGAGGCTGTAAAGGAGAGCCTAGTGCCTAGTGTCAGAACTCCACAACTTAGAGAGTCTCACGCTAGCCTGAGAAGTGGATTAAGGACATTCGGAGAGAGATAAATACAACATTCACATTGTAAAAGAGAAATGATGATTGTCCTAAAACCCAAAATATAAGGAGTGATGGAAAGGAAAAGACAGTCACTAATTATCTGAAGTCTGAAAATTCAGTCTGAAATGGGATGGAAGCCGTACACAGTGATTTTCTTCCTACAAAATGAATTGCTTATCTGACATTTGATTAACCACCTCAGATCTGTGTTACCAGTAACAAAAATTATCCTGCCACCTTTACTTCCAGCTAGGTATCACTCAAATGGCATTCGCACCCAGACCACTCTGTAAAGATAATATACATAAAGCTATGTGCCATTGCCTCGACATTAGGTTTAGATAACCAAGGTAACCAAATCATTGTTTATTGAAGTCAAGCTAAAATGTGGAAATCGAATCAAAAGCATAGGAAAACATGGACTTTTGAGAAATTTACTTTAGTCAAGTGTTTCAGTTGAAAAGTGAAACCTGTTTCCCCACTACAAGAGAGACATGGCACTCCTGGAGAGAGTCCAGCGGAGGGCTACCAAGATGATTAGAGGGCTGGAGCACCTCTCCTAGGAAGAAAGACTGCAAGAGCTGGGCCTGTTCAGCCTGGAGAAGAGAAGACTCAGAGGGGATCTCATCAACGTGTACAAGTATCTGAAGGGGGAGTGTCAAGAGGATGAGGCCAGCCTCTTCTCCGTGGTGCCCAGCAGCAGGACAAGAGGCAATGGGCACAAACTGAACCACAGGAACTTCCACCTAAACCTGAGAAAAAACTTCTTCACTGTGAGGGTGACCGAGCACTGGCACAGGTTGCCCAGAGAGGTAGTGGAGTCTCCTTCCCTGGAGATATTCAAAACCCGTCTGGATGTGATCCTGGGCAATATGCTCCAGAGGACCCTGCTTGA